AGAAAGAAAAGAAAATAAAGAACACGCAAAGTGAGGCTCCGCAAAAGTGGGGCACACACAACGGGAGACAAATGGAGGCAGTGCAGAAAAGTTTATAGGCATTTACCACGGTCTTAACATGTTTAACCCATACCGTTAAAAAAAAATGAAACAAGTTCACCTATTCATCTTTTGTGAAACCGCCATGAGCGCAGTCAAGTTGTGCATGACTATTGCCGCCACTTTGAGCGGCCGCCATGTCATCAGCTATTTCCTCAAGGTCCTGAATTGCCTGCCGCAGCGCAAATTCGACAAATTCTGGTGGTAGTGGCTGTCCATCACTTGTGCGTTCCCTGCAGGCATTAGAAACGAGCTGTTGCGCGTGTTCCACGACGCGCTTGCGCAGTCGCGCCGCCGCCGGGAGGTCTTTGTTTCCGTACAAGTCCTTTTTATCATAATCTTCGCGGGGGAACCGCTCAAAGAAGACGTTGACGCTGATAGAGTAGCTTCCCTCCATTGTGGTGAGGTGGTGAAACCAGAGGGACGGTATAAAGAGCATGTCCCCTGGCTCCAGCACAACCTCCGTGGAATGGCGGCATGCGTCTGCAAAACGAGGAAATCGGTCCAAATCCGGTGCGTCAATGTTCAGCACAGCCGAGGAACTGCCGCTCATGTAGAGATTATTGTACTCACTAGGAGGAAAAAGGACGACACGTTTTCTTCCCACAACCTGGCAAAGAACGTTGTCCAGGGTGTCGTAATGCGTCCACAGTTGCAGCGGGGGTGCATTCAGACGAAGACAGGCTTGATGCATGCGGGGCTCAATGTGTTCCGCAACGGCGGGTGGCAGCACAAAGTCGCTTCCCAAGCCTGGGAAATCCTTCCATACATTTGCGCGTTCCGTTTTCATGTTAGGCGCCACCGCGCGAAGGTACCAGGCCTCTGCTTCCGCCTTTTGAGGGCTCCCCGTCGCCGCCACGCAGTGATCCACCAGCGATGCAAACGAAACGTGCTGGAACGTAAAGTTCTTCTTAACAAAGTCAAGCAAGTGCGTTTCCCTAGCAACGTGCACCGAAACCATCATGTTACCCTCCGTTGCCTTCAAGTACGTCGGATTTGCCCAAACATCCACGCAGCGGCCCAGGCCAACGTTGCGGAAGACGACTGGTTTATTTGGTTGGCGCACAAGTGCCAAAAAGGCTTCTTTGCTAAACGGCTGCTCCTCGACCTGAGGCCGTTTAAGCGCGAGACGCAGGGACGGAGACAACTGAGATGACGCCACGGCAGTTTTGGGTCGCTTGGGCACGTGCCAGTCGCTCCTGTCGCCCAGGAAGAGCAGCATCGGCTTGGCGGTGAAGGTGCCAAAGGAAAAACAGGTGAAACCACCGCCAATAACCGCCACAACATCATCGTCCAGTGAAATGCAGCAGTGCCGCGTCCATGTTGGGCAGTCGGCAGGAAGTGCCAGCACGCCTGCCGTCTCGCCTGTCTCAGCGTCGAGGAGAAGCGCAGACGGATCTCCTTCGCGTGGCTGACAGGTTGAACCGCCAAGGACAAGGACGCGCGCCACACCGTTTACCTTCACATGGCACATTGCATGTGAGAAACGCGGCGACAACGCGCCTGGCATTTTGCGACAGTTGCCTGTTGTCCAATCCACGCGCCACACAGCACCCTCGCAGGCATCGCCTGCCAACAGGCCACCGCTGAGCAACACGGCGGGAGTGGAACGGAGCTCAATCACGGCACTGGAACAAGACGGCGGGGGAATTTCACCTGCAAGCGGCAAACGCCTCCAACGCATCGTCCCGCCGCAAAGCGTCGCTATCCATGCATCGTTCAAGCAATGACCTACTCCACTGCGGCCTCCAAAGACAAAAATGCACCGCTGCGATTTTGCTGTTTTGTCCCCCACCACAATCGCGGCGTGACGGTAGCGCGCCTCCGGTAGTTCACCAGCTTCTGCCACAGGCTCGAGTTTTGACCAGCGAGCCACGAGATGTTTTTTCTGCATCAGCTCCAGCTTATCGGGCAAGTCCAGCTGTAGCAGGTACGCATCCATCGTGACCTCCTTGGGATTTGTGCGGCCACCGAGCACCACGTACTCCCCGCGTGCCACGCGGCTGAAGGAGTGAAACACGAGGGCAGGTGGCTCCACACCGGAAGCTGCAGCGGTGACTTTGTAGTCACCCTCAGAAAGACTATGAACATACACTGTGTTCGTCCTCTGATGGCTTCGTGTGGCGGAGAAGCCACCAAACGACACAAAGACCAGACCCCCAGACGGAAGCTCCTCTGCAAATGCCTGTCCATTGCCCCAACCTTCAAAACCAAAGCGACTTGTGGGCCACCTCTCAAGATGCGCAGCGACCTGCGGCGTTGTCTGTGAGGCCTCTGTCACAGCCTCGCTTGGTGTTTCCGTAAATGCTGGGTGGGCAGGCATGCCAATTTCATGCGACGTTGCAGCCATGGTGATGCCGTAGTGCTCACACATCTCGCACCATTCTTCCGTTTCGTCAAATGGCTCAAGTGCCTCCACGCGCTGCCGCTCATCCCCCGTTAGATAATATTGTGAAAGGTCGTGAAAGTTGGCAAACCGCGCTTCCTGCATACCACACGCAAAAGCACGGCGAAGCATTTCTGTCCTACCAGGTGTTTCCGCAAGGCCAAGTAATGGACTGCCCTTCGAACGGAGGGAAACCTGCATCACGTTACCAAAGCTGTCTGACGGATTCACTTGATCGTACGCAAGAAAAATAGCCCTTGGGAAAGCGCATGCCGCCCACTTGATGAGGTCAGCGGCGGAAGACGGGGGCATGTATTGCATGACGCATTCGGCGAAGAGCACCGTGGGATGCGCCTGGGAGAAATCTGGCGACGCCTGCATCAGTGAGGCGATGAGGTCGTGTTCCGTGTTGCGCAGATCCACCCCAATCGCACGGTAGTTGTTTCCCTGCAGCTTCACCAGCTCGTGCGCCGGCTCCGCCATCAAGTCCTCCGGGAAGGCGCCTTTTGGAGCGGCCCGCACCAAGTCGGATTTGGACTGCATAACCGACGGGAAGTCAATCTCGTAAAAGTGCACATTGGCGTACTGGGGCGCATCTTTAAGGCGCATGGCGAGAGTGTCGTAGCCGGCGCCAAGCGAGACAACCTGCACGGGTCCAGCGCTGGCGGCAGTGCCTTGGAGGTGGCGGATGCATCTCTCGACGAGGTCGGTGATAACGAGCATGCGCAGGTAGTAGCCGCGATTGATCAGCGGCGAGCGCCGGGCCAACTTCCGCACAAAGTAACGCAAATACGGGTCCTTAAAGTAGTTATGGAACACCGCCGAGCGTTTGCTCACAACGCTGTCGTCGTTCGTGCGCTGCACCGCAGTGTCGCGACTCACCTCCGTCGTGGCGACCACCGCGGCACCGTTTTGCGTCATTGGCGGCGGCGTTGCCTTCCTTCTTTCAAAGAAACACCAACAACTAGGAGAAACTGTCTTTCCTTGCCGAGGTCTACGCGCCTACCTTCGCTGCAAGCTTTCGCGACTGCTGTGCTGCTGCTAAGACTGGCACAGAAGACGCCGCACGCCCCAGCAACAAAACACCACAGACACAGCAAGGCCAGGAAGAAAAAAAGCAAAAAAGAAAAGAAAGAGGTCAAAGTCAAGTTTGCTGCACAAGGCACATACACAAACGGAGTGTGAGAAAGATCGACACACACACACACACGCAGACACACGGACGGAAGTCACACTGCAAGGAAGGAGGACAAACTTTTTAGTGTTAACAGAGCGCTACGCCGTGCGCTTCAACTCCCCAGAGCACAGGAAAAAAAAACGAAAAGAGGAAAACTGTGACGAGCGCGCATTAGACTGCAGACACACCACCAACACCACCGCCACCAACGGTCGCGGCAAGAGCCGCTTTATCTTCCGTCGTCTCCAATCTGAACGACGGAGACGCATCCTTATCAAGAGGAGCGAGGACAGATCCATCTTCTACCACGACATCGCTCTCCTCCTCGCCCCGGTGTGGAGCACACCCCTTCCATTTTAGCACCGTCTGCGCCAACTCCAGTTTTCCTGCCTTGAGCAGGAGCGAGCTGAGCGTCACGCTGGTGTTGCGCGTGAGGGAGAAGCCCTTCTCCTCCATCTGTGTCAGGAGGGAGGCCACCTTGGTGTGCTCACCCGACCGCGCAAAGGCCCCCACACAGACGTTGTAAATAAACTGTGTTTTGGGCAGCTTTTCTGTGTCTAGCAACTCCTGCAGCTTGACGGTGTCCCGCATCTTGGAGTAGATGAGGTAAATCGACTCCACATCGCGCTGACGGCAGTCAGGGTGAGAAAGAAGGAGGGAAATGTAGTGCTCCATCCTTGGCAAGTCCCCAATGTGGCTGAAGGAGGTTGCCACGGTCGCCAGCATTCGACTCGTGAAGGGCACACCACTTGCAACCATCTCCTCCACAAGCTTCGATGTCTCTTCCACCATGCGGGCACGTGAGTAGATGTTGAGAAGTCCCACGTAGGCAAACTCCTCCATGGGAATCTGCTTGCTTCTTCGCTCCTCCACCAACTCCTTGATGTGCTCATACCGCTTTGCACGCCCATAGCCCTCAAAAATAATGTTGAAAGTGACATGGTTTTCTTGAAACCCCTCCTCCTTCATCTTCGCCCGCATTGCCTCCATCTTTGCCACGTCACCGGTCTTCGCGTAGGCGTTCATCGCCTGGTGGTAAGTCACCTGCGTTGGCACCGCATTGGTGGAGTGCGACATCTCCTCCAGGACCGATTCCATCTCCTCAAGGCGTCCCATCTTACCGAGCATGTCAACGACGGTTGTGGCCGTGACGGGGTTGGGCGGCACAAGCTTCATCATGGTGCTCAGGATCTGCTGCACCTTCTCCACGTTGTTGCTCGCCAGGTACAGGTCGAGAAACTTGTTGTACACAGGCATGGTGATGGTCACCTTGGACGCCACAAGGTCGTTCCAGCACTCATCCACCGCCTGCGTCTCACCCAGGCGCGCAAAGGCAGAGGCGGCAATGGCAAAAAAGAGCGGGGTTCGAACCGCGTCATTCATGAGAGCCTCGTGAAAGTAACGCTTAACACCCTCCAAGTCATTAAAGTGCCCGAGTGCCGAAACGACCACGCTAAAGATACGTTCATTGATAACGACACGATTTTCATGCATCTCCCGCAGAAGTGCGTTAAACGCACGACGGTCTTTTCGCTTCGAGGCATCGCGAAGGAGCACGCGATACATGTCGGGCGACTTGTACGGAAGACGTGACACCAACGCCTGGAGGTGATCGTAGCGGTTGTGAATTGAGTAGAACTGCACAATCTCCGCCTGCACAAACTCATTCGCCAAGAGTCCACGATTTTCGGCTTCATGAATGATCGACGTGCATCGCTCCACGTCATTTTGATACGTCTTTAGAAGCTGGACGACAACGGCGGCGGAGAAGACGTTTGTGTTGCCCATAGCCGCCTTGGCTTTGATTTCACGATAAAGCTGCTCCACGATGGGAAAATCCTGTAATTCCCCAAACACACGCAGAAGCGTTGGATACATAAATGCCTCAATCTGAATGCCTTTACTACGCATTTCGTTCATGTACTTTTCCACCATACGAGGGTAATACTTGTCAAGCACACGAAAAACATGCTGATAGGTCTGGGCAGTGTGAAACATCTGCTTCTCCTGCATTTCCTCCTTCAGGGCAATGACTTCCTTCAGGTTATAGGCATGCGCATACCAGCGCAGCATCTCGTCGTAGAGACGATGATCCTGCACCACCCCGGCATCCTTCAAGGAAGTAAAGCACCGCTTCATGTCGTCAAACCGACCCAACGCGCCGTAGCCCTTGATCAAGGAAAGCAGGTAGGACGGCTCCACCTCATCCACCGTGTCATTCTGCACGCACTCCTCCAGGACACTCTCCAGGTGCTGCACCTTTTGCAGCATAACGTCATCCCCGGACTTTTGACTTCGGGCAAGTAGTTCGCTACACTTGGCAATAACCGCCGTCTCCGCAGCCATGCCGAGCGCCTTCACCGCCAACTCCTCGCGAAGGGTCGCCTCTGCCTCGTAGACTTCGGCCACTGACCTCACGCTTTGCAAGCGAGAGCGTATCATCGCCCCTATGGCCTGATCTGAAAGCTTGATTTTAAGTTCCATGGCCATGCCCTTTAGTTTTTCCATTTCATCGGCGTCGCCGCGGATGGCCACAATACCTGTGGAGAAGATGGCGTCAAAATCCAGAGAATTCCGGCTTGGTGCACGCAAAGCTACAAGTTGTCGCACGAGTTCCATGATTTCTCCGTACCTGGATGTCATGCCGTATGCCTCAATGAGTGCAGTGTAGTCGGAGGTTGTAAGCTGCTCCTGTGGAATCTCCTGAAGCAGCTCACGCGCCTCTGCGTATTGCCCGGCAAACTGATACGCAAGTACGGCAAGCAACTTGAGGGAGTCTTCCCCGCGCAATTCATCCGCCATGTTTTTCATAAGCTCCTTCGCGTTTTCGGTGCGGTAGGAGTCGAAGAGATGCTTCACTAGCTGAAACCCAATCTTCATGCCATACCTCCGAAAACGAATGGAGGCACGAAAGAGCAGGTGCGCCATGTCTCCCTGGCGCAGCTCCACACACTCCCGCATGAGACTCTCCGCCAGCGCCGAGGCATCGCTCGGATTGATCTCGCCTTTTTGTAGCTTGGACTGCAGCGCAATCATCAAGAAGGTCACGCTATTGCGGAACTGCGTTATTCTGCGTCGGGAGTGTAGCATTGACTGGCGCACGTAGCGGGCAACGTGCCGCGGCTTCGTCGTGAGCACCGCCACCAGCTGCGCCTCATCCTCCGGGGTGAAGGGGCGGTAATGCCCGCTACGTGCCCCCTGCAGTTGACGCGGTGTGGAGGACATAAAACGCAGCTGCGACCACGCCGCGCTGCAACCTGCGACCGTCTGCAGCAGACTTGCTCCGCGTCGCATGAAAAGCGATTCCACAATCCGGTCCCGCACAGAACCCGCCCACGCTCCTATTCTTGATATCGTCTTCTTCCTTCTCAGCGGGTGAGAGCAAAGAGCACAAACGGGCAAAAAGAAAAAAGAAAAACCGTTGCAGGGTGGGAAGTTGTTGTGTTTTTTCTTCAAGCTGTCCCGTGCTTCCTCTGCGCATGCAGCGTTATAGCTCTACCTCTTCGTACATGTAGCATATTAGCGCCACTACGCGTCAATAAGAGAAGTGGTATAGCGCCACACGTCGGCGCGCGCGGCTGCTTGGCGGTAAATCCACTTCATTTGTCCCGGGCCTCCTGCACGCACGGCACCGCCTAAAAAGCCCGAACTACCGCCACCGTGTGCCAACAACATGCCGAAATGACTCATTGCTGCTCTTCGGCCTCCCTCTTTGCTAAATAGTAAACCCACGGCACCGCGTTCAGGCGGCCCACGGCCTTGTCAGGGAAACGCTTTACACAAAGGACGGAGCAATAAACCATATATATATATATATATACGCATATATGTATATATGTAGGTATATATCCCACTTACAACAGCCACTGGGTTCCCACTCGACCACAATTCATTCCCTTTTGTCATCGCAGCGGCGAGACTCTGACGGTGCGGCGACAGCACGGGAAGAAGAAGATGAAACCGACGAAAAAGAGGAGCCGAACGGTCCCTCCCCCCACACAGACACCCAAACGTTACAACAGAAACGGCCCAACAAAGTGGAACAGTAATGAAGCCATACAGAGGCCGCAGTGCACCCTGATGACTCTCACTGCGACCGTTTTGGTGAATTTCACACTTTCCTTCCTCCTGGTAGGAGATGAGTCGAGGGGGTGGTTAGGGTTTAGCTCGCCGTTTTGCAGTAGCCAACAGACGCCTTATGGATCATGGTGAGGGACACTTTGTGCCGTTCGACGCTTGGGCTGCCGCCATTTCAGCGTCCTCGGGAGTGTGAAGAGGGGCGGAGAAGTAACTCCCCTGCCCCATAGGAGGAACGACGGCTTCCAGCGTCACAAGGGCACGCGGGTCCTTCAAGCACACTGCACGACTAAGCAAGCTACACAAACACTGACAACACAACCGACCAGTACTCATGCGATGCCCTCCAAATCCGTGAATCATAGCAGAAAGTGCTGTGAGTTCTTCTCTACTTCCAAAGCAATCTGCGTGACGAGTTGTGTATCCACCGCCTCTTTGTTCCTCGTGAATGAGTTGTTGGTAACGTTGAGGGTACATCTTCGCATGCCCTCGGACAAGCGCAACAAAAAATTCATTGTCCATCCACGCATGGTCATCCCCTACAAACGCCTCCTGCACTGTTTCTATGAGGGCAGTGTAACACTGCGTACTCATAAGCAGCCTATAGAAAAGAATGTCCTTTGGGTCTTTCGTCGAAAACGTCTGCGTTCCCGCTGCACCACAGACACCAATATCACCTAATAACTTTGCATAGTAAGTTAGAAAAAGGCTGCAAAGATCCCGCGCCGTCTGGTCTCGAGGGTCCTGCATCTTTAAAGTTTGGTATCCTATTCGAAGCGCACTAAAGGTGCCTGAATTTGGCAATGTGTGCTTTTCCTCATTATAGTATTGCACTTCCTCGCAGGTTCCAGAGGATCCCAGGTGAATCATTACGCAACTGTCGATGGGCACACTCTCCAGCAGTGGAAGCTGTGAGGTGAGAATGCCGACAAGGTAGGGTGTCGGGGCTGCCAATACGTCCAAAAGGGTACTAGGAAGAATGGGGATTAAAATGTGCATCCAATCAAAGGGCGAAATGAGGGATTGCAGCGACATCACCACCTGCGAGACAAGACCAAAGTTGGGTCCAACTACAATAACGTGTTTCTCGAGTAAGAGGTCGGCCAAGACGGAGAATAACGTGCTAGTGACCGGAAATATAGTAAGCAGATACACGGGTGTTGTGTCAATAAACGAGCACAGCCTGTCATAGGGCCGTTGGAAGCTAATGGGGATGTGGTCGGGCAGCGCAAAGATGCCCCCTGACGGGGGTGTGGGGCAATTGTAAAGCGCCTTCACAATCAGCTTCCCGTTTTCATAGCCATTCGTGCGAAACAGCGTGGCGAGGTGTGTAAAGAAGCGACACCAGGGGTATGGTGAGAGACTAACGACGGATTCCCCATTCACAAACGCCGTGCAATGCCCGTACAGACGCACCCCACGTCCATCGGTGAGAACAAACGTGTGGCTAAGCTCCTCCGCAGAGTACGAGGTCCCTGCGTTCGTGTAGACAAACTGGGTCAACATCGGGTACCTCGCCTCAACCGCCTCGAAGGGAAGCGGGAACGACCACACCGCCTCCACATCGCGCCGTTCCTTGCGGAGGACGATAAAAAACAGCAGGCAACTCTCATCACTACCGCCATGGCAACTGAATGGGTGGACACTGCCGTGACGCGCGGAGGAGCCCCCGCACCGCGTCGGCGCCCCATTCGGCGCGGGAAGACAGTCCTTCGACCCGTCCGCGCCGGGCCGCAGCGCCGGGGCCGCGACCGCCATGGAACGCGCTTACAAGGGAGTGGGGGACGGGGGGCAACACGCTTGACGCCTCGACGCAGCACTCCGCGGCCTCCCTGGTGGCCGCCCACACCCGCACTCTCCACCGCCGCCGCCAAACTAATAATACCCCCCCCCCAAAAAAAAAAAAAACAGCGGTGAAACAACAGGAAAATCAAAAGAAATGCCACGGGTTGGAAGCGCAGCCAGGCACCCTCCCCTCCCCCTCCNCCCCT